TCCTACTCTTGCCCGAATGATCTCATGAGAAAAGGACGAGAGAAGGTGAAGGTCAGGGAAGGCTGAGAAAGCTCGTGCGGGGTCCGTCTGCGGGTCATGCAAGTCAATGCACGCTGGCTTTTAACGCGTAAGCAGACTCCTTGGCTTCAATCTGCCAGGAAAAAGGAAGACCATAGGAAATACCACTGGCAATGGCATTGTTGGCAGCCGGCAAAAGCATTGCAGTGGCATTGATAGCTCAATCGGGTATGTGACGAGAGACGCTGGTGGTGTTGTGCCGATCTCTTTCTTCGTGCAACGTCGGTGGATGCCGAAGTTCTGCCGATTGGACAAGACGCGCACTACGCGTTGCCGGCGGTCGTAGAGAAGTGTTCGTGGAGATGAGGCATACTGTACGCAGAAGTTCAGCAATTGTTCGCGATGGTCATGGCAACGCGTTGTCCTCTCTTCCGTGTCTAATTCTGTCGATGATGATGACGTCTCTTGCTAACCGGCCTCGGACTAGCGGGGCAAACACGTGCGCGAACCATCTTGGCTGCGCGCCGGGCGGCTTCACGCCGCTGTCGTGCAACAACCGGGAACGTCAAGCCTTCTCGAGGGCGTCGTCGACCACTCGTCTCCGCGTGCGACCCGGACTATCTCAATTCTCTTGTTTCTCTTCTTCTAGTCGCACTCGAATATCCCGTTATCTCACGCGATGGCGCCTCCGTCAGTTGTCGGCTCTCAGAAGCCTGGCGCAACCGATACCACCGCGATGGAACAGAACATAGGCCAGGCCACCTCCGTCATACTACCCCTTCTGGAGTTCGGCGCCCTGGGATACGAGACATATGTCGTAGTCTACTTAATATGCGTCCAGTACCTCATAAACCCTTCGGAGGACATCCAGCGAGACTTCGGCATTCGGCCGCGACGCTCCACCGGTATCGCACTCATAGTCGTCTACGCTATTCTACTCCTCCTCCTTATGGTAGCATGGCTGCGCCTATTACAATTGGTGTGGTCGAAGCCAGACCTCATACCTCTCGGTAGCCCCTCGGTGGACAAGGCAGATGCGAGCACGAAAGGCTTCGGCTTCGACCAATACGATGCATACATTTGCGATTACCAGGGGGTGCCACTTTGGTGCGAGAGGTGCCATAATTGGAAGCCGGATAGGGCACATCATTGCAAGGAACTGGGGCGCTGTGTCAAGAAGATGGATCACTACTGCCCATGGGCCGGTGGAATCATAGCAGAGACTACGCACAAGTTCTTTATGCAGTTCGTGGCGTATGCATCGCTATACACGACCTTCACTTGGATTGTTGTGGCCATTTTCTTTGCAGAAAGGAGCTCCAAGGTGCGCTCAGAAGCAACCCAATGCATGCAGCAGCAGGCTAACATATCGTAGATGGGCTCCCGTCCAGGGACATGGATTGGCGCGCTCGCAACCGCTGTGCTCTTCAGCATCTTCACCTTCACAATGACCTGTATGACAGGCTGGAATCTGATGATCAACTTCACCTCGGTCGAAGGCATCCAGCGCGGCGGCATCCACAACATCGCCTTCCTCATATCAAACCCCTCCCCGAACCCCGATACTTCTGCTCCACTTACTGCGACACCGACAACGTCATCCAGTAAACATCATAAGAAGAAGTCGAGTAGGGACGTAGCAGAAGAGAAGGAACTCGACAAGGAGGACTGGCCTGTTCTCACTACCGTCACCCGCCTCCCAAACCGCTCATACGTCGTCATGCAAACCAAGCCGTTGGAACACCCATGGTATACAACCCTCCTGCAGGGCTGGAAAGATACCATGGGCACGAACATAATAGATTGGCTATTACCGTTCCGCCAATCTCCATGCAAGCAAAAAAGCCATCGTGGAGAATTTGAATGGGGTGAGGTGGTGTACGACATGGCGAAGATGTACGAGAAGAAGAACCCAGGAGCCAGTCTTGCTATTCTTGATGAGAGTAGGAGATCAAGGAGATGACGTTGACGATACGTTCGATTCTGCATTGTTTCTTTTTCGGTAAGCGACTTGGGCGTTCTTATATTTTTCCTCTCAGGATGTGATACCCATATATGTTGTTAGTCGTAGGTTGTACATAATCACTCGGTGGAGGAAATGCGGCAATCAATCGCAGACACTCTTGCACACTGGACTGAGTGACATAAGCCAAACTGTCAAGAGGTGATTTCCAATCCTTATCACAGCCACTCCATTCAGGTTCGTCATCCCTCCCAAACCCCACGTCAAATCCCCGACAAAAGCAAGCCTTACTAACAGCAAAAAGCTCCGACGACGTTACTCTCACGTCGCACACACACACATCCATCGCACGAAAACGATCCACGTGGCCCATCACCCCCTCCATCCAATCAACCACCCCGCCCAACCCACCATCCCCATGATAGGCCAAAAAGAAAATCTGGTACACGACCAGCACCGTCCCCGCCGATCCCGCAGACGATGAAAACAAGTTACCGATGCGGGTAATCGAAGTTCGCGAACCAAACTCCTGCTTCCAGCGCCCGATGCCGCTGCCTGATGGTCCTTGTTGCGACTGGTCATCGCTGGGGTTATGGGGATAGGGTTGTGGATCTGCGGATGAGAGTGCCTGTTGATCAGTTCTAGATGGTGAGTCGTGTCGTTACTTTCCGGGTCGTTGGGGAGAAAAGTTTGCATGCTGCGGACCTGCGGACTATGGGGTGTAAAGTTGGTATGAAAGCATGTACGCGTAAGCTGCTAGAGGCTGTGGTGAGGTGGTCGGTGATTTCCTTCATGCGCGTGGATGATAACTTGGAGTGTATCTTGTGGCTGTTACGCTTACTTTGTCAGAGCGCTCTTCAACTGGTCAAAGTGGAAGAGTGCCTGGGAGTTGCAGTCATTGTCATGGGCTTGGTGTCTATCTGGCCGTGTTACTCGGTTTCGTATTCCCATGGTGGGTGTTATCTACGTGGTCCTAGCCGCGCTGGTTGCCTGTGGGTGTGTGACGTCCAGCTAGGCTGCAGTACCGCCGGTATCTCGAGTCAAACGGTAATCCTGACTCTTTGCAGGCAGTTATGATCGACCACGGTATAGCTCGGGACTTGCCGCGCTATCGACCGTGGGTGATACGGAGGACGAAGATCCTCATTTCAGCCGTCACAGTCGACCCCGGGAAACTATCTCGCGCTTCGCTTCGTATCGAGATAGATCTGCGCAATGACATGGAGATGCTCATCCTCATCTCATCAATGTAACACGACTATCAGCTCAAGGACAGGGACTGAAAGGTGACGTTTTGTACTACGTCTTTGGCAGCTGAAACAATGACAGCTTTCATCTAATGTTTGCCTGGTGCCCCATGCGCCGCCTGTGAGGCTGCCGGTTTCCGGACAACGGTGATCGTGATTTCCTCCAGGAACGTTTCAGTCTACCATGGTACTATAAATGGAGACATTCTTCCCGCAGACTATACGGCTGCGTCTGAAAAGGCGAAAGCTTGGGCCTGGTCCTTCCGTGTTTGCCATGAACGTGCGTCAGGCCGCCCAATCCGTAATGAGGTGTTTACAAGTTGGGTAGTTCACGCGAGCAGGTGGTTAAAGTGAAGAGTCAGCTGGACTTTTGAGTTCTTCTCCACTCGCCACGAAAGCCTCCTATCAATTAAGACGTGAGTGTCACTGTCAATAAAGTGCGCGACGGCTGTTCCGGTGTCACACATTTAAACTTGCTCTGAATGCCGACAGGTGTGATCCCCTTACAGTCCGGGCCGCTCCATGGTATCCCTGTCAGCAGTGATTTTGGTCACGGTCCTTGGTTTTCGGGAGAGATGGTGGAGCGGGATTCGCAGGGCAAACCCTGGCTCCGATCCCCCAATGATGTGCAGTGTTTCCCGCATCCAGATAATGAGGGGTCAATCCCAGAAGAGGATCATGACAAGGGTCTAATGTGACTTCGTTCACCGGACTATGTGGAGTCTTTCCGGCTGAAAGGCTGGTTATCAAGTTCCTAGGCCAAGTGGAGTGCGAGTGAAGTTAGTGTGAGTGGCGCCCCAGCCTGTTTGAACCTTCACATCTAGAGGAGTCGGCCGATTGAGATCGGTGGGGTTTTGATGTGTTGAGATTCGATATCACGAAACATGTCATGGCTCAACTTGTCCATACATGTTGCCGGGGTCGTTGCTTCCCGAAAGCACGAGCCCTCTGCCAAACGGCTGGTGTTGCCTCTCAAGCACCACCGTTGTGTGTCATGTTTTAACTCTGGGGGTTTGAAACACCGGAGCTGTCGATGGCGTTTGAAGCGTAGACGCTAGATTGGTGCCCGCGGACACCAGGGGGATGTCCGTTTAAACTTCCGCATTCGGCAGTGTGTGGGCCGTGAGACCAAATCTGGCCATTCGCAATGAGGACGACTGGAGACTGCACTAGGCAATCAATAGTCTGGAGGGGCCGGCGGCATACACATGTAGCGCCCTCCGGGTTTCACCATGATACTGCCTGTAAAGTCTCTTTCAGTGGTTGCGGGGGGCTCACGATTTTCACACGACGCGGGTTAGGACAGTGTCTGTGAGTCTCGTAGAGCTTTGTTGAGAAGATCGCATGGTGATTAGGCTATGTAGGAAACAATCTTCGAGGCCGAGGCCGATGGAAAACAACGCTGTAGCAGTTCCAGTATGCTGCGTTCTTAGCGCGATATGCGCCCTAACTCCATTTCCCAAAACACTGATGTGTACTCCGTTTTGGGTCCCAGGGTATTCGACTGAAAGAAAATGGCCAGATCATCTATGCGCCTGGTCAAGGTCGCAATATCCGACATTGCCCGCAGAAGGCTGTGATGATACAGGCTGCCCAAGAAACGAAAGTATCCAGATGCTTCTGGTTCCACCAGAATGCCGAAAGCGGAAGAGAGAGTAAATGATGTGCGCGATTAAACTCGTCATGATGAAGGTTAAATGGAATATTCCGGTGCGTCCCAGCGCCTACTCGTTGGTCGCGCTTTCCTTGGGCGGGCCCATTTGCGTGAGACACTATGCCTCTGGGCCATTGGCTTCACGCTCTCGCTGTTCCTTTTGTGGAGCACGACGACGAGCGTTGATGAACCAGTTGGATACCTAGTGGATGTCAGTACTTTGTTCGGTACACAGATGTAAACTCGTGTGCATGCTAGAAAGGATTTGCGAGGGTAGCAAAAGGACCGACAGCACGCTGTAGTCTAAAGGAAGTGACACTGAAGGACAGGAATGGCAGATGTAGTGAGGGTGTCAAAAAACAACGTTGGTGCTGGGACAAATCACGTACCTGGTTGAGACTCAATCCAGTCCGGTTGCAAAGCTCCATCTTTTGGTCTTCAGTGGGATAAGGCGATGTTCGGTTGGCGGCAAACCAATCTTTCAGCAAGTTGGTAGCTTCTTTGGGCAGGTTTCCTCGGCGCTTCCTGTTGAATGCGTTGTGATCAAGGCCTACGTGCTGCTGGAATCGGATGTCGCCATACTGGGAGTCGTAACTTGGGTAGCCCGGCCGAGTGAAGAAAGATTCATTCGGTCGCTCGTAGCCACCGTAGACAGCAGCTTGGGGTTCGTGGTAGTAGCTGTGTCGGGGAGGCTCGTACATGCCACCTTGCTGGACCATGGGCTGTTGGAAAGGGCTCTGCCCGATGGGTTGCTGGAGAGATGGCGGTGCGTAAGACATGTGGCTCTGGGGTGCTGGTGATGACTGATGTCGCATGTGCGGGTTCATAGCCATTGGCTGCTGCTGGGGTGCCGCGTATGAATGGCTTGGACGGTGAAGCATGCCGGATCCTACGGGCTGCACTGCGTGTTGCTGGGCGATGCGGGGCGAGTAGCCAGAAAGGGCAGGGTCAATAGCACTGCTCATTCGACGGCCCTGCATAGGCGGCTCGTAGATATCGCCGAGCGTGTCGACGCGCCTTCTCTTGCTGTCTGACCAAGATACATCTTCAAATTGAGGTTGCACGTGGGGAGAGCTTTCAGCAGAGTCATTTCGACGCTGAGGCGTCCGCGGGGGGGTGGTGGTCCGCGTAGTGTGGAGAAACTAGAAAAGTCAATCGCCTGCGGATGGCATCAATCAGCTGGAAGTAGACGTACCTCAGAAAATGAAGGAAGTTTGCCAGGAAAGTTTTGCTCTCCGGGCTGGATGGGCGGTGAGCTGCGCATGTGGTGGTTCTGTGATTCTGTCAGAGTGGTGCTCGACGGTCGTAGTTCGTCGCCATCGACTGTTTCTGGAGTAGTCGTAGGCAGGCGTGAGTCGGGCAGCATTCTCGGCTCTGGTGAATGCGATCGGCGGCGTGTGGGCAAAGAATAGGAGCGCGGTAAGGCAAGTGAACGGGCGTTCTCGCTAAGTGCGTCCGCAAAGTGGGGATGGCCATAGTACTGGGCAGGCGCGCGGGGGCAGGCGAAGGGCTCGGATGCTCTTGCCCTCCAAGTTGCACTCTCCTGTCCGTGGACGCGGAAGGGATCATGCAACGCGGGCTCGAGAAATCGCGGAGGGATGGGGGTGGGCTCGTGTAAAGAAGAAGGAGACTCTGGTTCTTGACTTACCGCAGCGACCATGTTAGCCAGCGGCCGTTCGGCAGGATGTGCAGAAGTCATCTTGCGCGAGTGCAGCGGTTCACAGTGACGGTGCGGAATATCTTGGAGAGTAAGATATTCCATATGTGCAACGGCAAGACGGCTTAAATACTCTAGCATGCACGCGTTAGCAGATAGTCACCTGTGTATCAACGTCTCCATGGTGAGTGGGCGGACTGTCTTGCTCTCCCAAAGTACTGACAGCTTGGTACCGCTCTTTGGCTGGCACCGTTGAATGCCATCACCCACGAGCGGGGTCCCATAGGACGATAGGCAGTTGGGCGGCATTACTCACCCAGGTATTATGGTAGTGATGTAACAATTAACTCGAAAGGGCGACCAAGGGTCCGATGCAGGACTACCGAACCACGGATTGTATATCGCAGATATATGAGTGGTGAGGGCGTGCGAGGGATTAGTCGTAGGGTGGGCGTCGAGGGAGAGTGGTGACAAGGGAGCCGGCGCAAGCACTCAGCGATTCGCAAGAAGATAGTTGGGCGTGATGGGGTCGTGATGACGGGTCCGAGGCGTTTAAGAAGCAGCAGCACCGTGAGCGCAGGAGGCGTTTCTAGGCTAGGAGGGACTGCAACGGGCCGTACATCAAGCATGCCCTGCGATCTTGCAGCAGCAGAAAGCGCGTCAGGGGTGATGCCAGTTGGGGCCAATGAAGGACACACAAGCGTGTTTAGCACCACGTCTGTGGACTTGACAGGTGAGGGTTAAAGTTTGGTCTATATTCTCCGAGCGTGACAATGCAGGCTCTGGCCGGACGCAGGCCGAGCGCAGGAAACAAGAGACGCTCAGTCTACGCCGCAGATTTCGAGGCACGAGCCCGTCGGTGCTGGAGTCGCGCCATCTGCTGCAGACGCCATTGAGCGTCGGCCGGTGTCTCCACTGCTCGCATCGTCGCAGATCTCGCTGCTTCTGACTCGCCGCAGGCAGGCGCAGGGGTGCCAAATGCCTCTCGCCCATTTCGTCGCACCTGCCCGTCGATTACCTCATCCGCCCTCCCACACACTGGATGCCGCAGCAACCTCACAGCGTGCCCTCGCGGCGGTAGCCGCCTGTGGCCAAGCATTGGCCGGCGCTGGAGTTGTCGTCTGGCGCCTCGCCGTCGGCCAGCAACCACAAGCAGTAGTTCATCGACTCCAGCCTCGCCATAGGTCGCTCGCCTTGCGCCCGCCAGCAGCAAACCATAGTGGTAATTGCGCTGAAGCTAGTTCATTGCTGCTGGACCTGACTTGAACTCTCCCGGGCACCGGTGGCACGGTACCCTTATGCTTGCTTTTGCCGGAGATATCTGAATCGACAGAAGCAGCACAGCATCTAGGGCAAGTGGGGTAGGTGCAGCGCAGCAGCATCCAGGACATGGCCGCGGGTTGCACTTCTGTCCAGAGCGGAGTGTAATCCGACGTTATGAGGGCTGCGGTGCACCCCAGAGCCACGCTGACGGCGTGTATGTCACCCAGCACAAGGTACGATACCCGGCAGACAGCTGCCGCAGGACAGAACCAGGTCGGTGGCTGACCTTGGTGGACACTTGTGCAACGGAGCTTTTCCAGCATCCAGGAGCGGGAAGCCTTGGTGTCGTGACGGGGTACAGAAGCAGCTAGTGCTGCAGCAGCGAGCTTTGGGAAGGGAGAAAGAGGCGTTCGTCCGGTGGGACAGGAATAGCAGCTAGAGCGACGACGTAGGAGCGCGGGAGATGATGCACGGCGTTCGATTCTCCACCATGTGCCAGGCACGACTAATTGGGGAGCCGTCGCCTGCAGACCCTGAATCAGTTGGCGAGTAGTGCAGCAGCAGTCTCTGCGAGACAAGTCGCGTGTGCCGTCTGGAGTCGGCGTGCTGTCTGCCAGTGCCTACTACACGCACGCAGCCGTCGCCGTGAGAGCTGGCTGTCATGGTGGAGAGCCCCTCGCAGTGCGGGCGGATGACAGATGTCAGGCTCATGCAGACCTCTGACGGTGGCATCGTGCGAAGAGGTGCGACCTTGTCTGCGCCGCCATGATTGGCACAGGGATCACTGGCACCTTCCCGCTCTCGGGGTCGCGCCTGCCCGATTCGCTGATCGCTTCCCGCTAGCCGGCCGATCAGACCTCGCACCTGCGCCTGGACGCCAGCCCTCGACATTCAACATCCGCCGTCTCGCGTGCCGGGTCGCTGCCGTCAACTGAGACCTTCTCCACGCTTTCGCGGTTTGCACTCGCCATCTTGCAACTCGACGCGACACCACGGCAAACTCTGCTCTGCCCTAACTGCGTCTATCGAAATCTACGAAACTTTGTCGCGCCCCACCCTCCCAATCCTTTCGCGTTGTGTTTCGCGCTTCCAAATTGACGTCGACGCTCGCAAGACTCTAATCTTGCCTCTGCTGCGCCGTCATTGGGTTCGGCAACGATGCCGAACTGCAGCGTTGCCATTATGCTTCGGCGCCACACCGACGAGATACCAACCTTGTGAACTGCTTGCACACCTGCGTCAACTGGCCTGACCGCTTGTCGGCTCGTGCCTGCTCCCACCATCTTGGCCGCTGTCCGCACTCACCATCCCGGCATGAGGGTAAACCTCCTGCTCGGGCTCGTGTCGTTTTCGATTCCCTAGAGTGGTGGCCAGGGACGCTCGCACAAGCTCCGCTGCGTTTCCATCGCCGTAAGCCATCGTCACACAGCAGCAGTTGACCGCCTGACAGTCCGTCAACTTTGCTTCAGGCGGCTGCGGTTCGTTGTTGTGTCGCCCACCGTCTCTGTGCTATGGCCCAGGGGGCTGTCAAACTGCTGCAGTGTAGCACCGCTTCGATACTAATAGCTAGTACAGGGCGCCTTCCGATCTGGATCATCAGTCATATCAAATATGCCCTACATCCACAACTGTCTTTGCACCTCGTGTGGAGATGGCGCCGCCGCCCCTTGCTGGCGATCATCTAGGGCGGGGAAGCCCTTGCATTCCAGGTTGCGGTTCTGTCTTGGTGAAATGCAGCTGCCGTGACTGGCGCCGTTGCACCAGACGGAAGCCACGAGCGCCATCTGCTGCGCGGACAGACCTCGAACCAGGTTTCCAAATACTCCACGCACTCTGTACCTCAACATTTGCGTCTTCAACAACCGAGATTACCAATCGAGCAGTCTACACGACAACCGCATGCTAGTGTTTGCCCGGCGCTCCATGATCAAAGTTACGTTGAGGCTCTTGGGTTTTGGAAGACGACGAGACCTGCTTCGGGGCCTCCGAGACCGGTATCAATGCTTCCGATAGATGCAACACTCGACATCTTGTACTCGTTAATCATGTTGACCTACTACGTCGCCTAGCTATCAGCATGCTCACCGCTCAATCGGCAATTGACGTACAACCGGTCTGATTCGGTCTGAACGACCTCATCGGAAGAAAGAGATTGGAGCTCAGTAGCATGACGATAACTTAACAAGTGGGCGGGTGGCATTCGTGGCACCTGTACCAGGCTCGCCTCTCGCTATAGATACAGATCCGTGTCTGCAATCACGGAACCTCCATCACCATACCAACGAATACTGTACCTGCAATTAATGTACTGACTGTCCGTAGCGGACGGTAAGTCATGCAAAAGACTTGATTCAGAAAGAGGGGTCTGCACAAAACAGTTCCACAACACATGGTGGCGTGCATGCGTCTCATGCCCCACTCTTCCTTCCGGTATACCAGCATCTTGCCCAGTGAACTGATGTTTTATCTTCAACAATCACTGCAGGTTCATTTACCCGGTATCTGGGATTTTTTTCAACAGCAGTGCGCACTTGTACTTGCAGGCCGAAGTGTCTTCAGGCAAAATGGGCAACGTGTGCACTGCTAGCAGTCATCGACTAAGATTGTGCTTGTTGAACCCACGCGCGTCCGGCTCCAGATGTGGAGAGATCTCTTGATCCAATCGTCACTCTTCTAGCGTTGATATGTTGAATGGTGGACTTTTGTTCCAGGGAATGACGTTGCCACAGTCTGTGTAAGGGGTCCAAGGATAATACTTCCCCATTCTTCATAGCTTTAGATCGCTGCAGTATCCTAGATCTGCGCTAATAAGATGAAACGATAGGCAGCAGACACTTCAAGTCAAAGCTGTCAGCTATGCGGATGCTGGACGCCTTGGAGCCAGAAACGGTCGATCTGGAGAGTGTCAGACGCTCTTCTAGATGGCGCACTTGTCTCTCAATAGCATAGTGAAGGCTATCACGATGCAAGTGCGTTGTTTTACCTGGCACCATCTCGCCGTGTACTGGTTTACTGCACGCTGCTATGGCTGTCATAATCTCAATACACTTTGGGGTTTTCAGCGAATCGGCATCGCTCCGCTGATGCTTAGTGTGTGTCGCCTTTATCTGTCCGAGGCTCAAAAGCAAGATGCTAACCAGAACAGCTACAGTTTGGGGCGTCATCAAGATCCCACATTCCTGGCCCACTAGCTGAAGATACTATCGGAGACCCACGGACCTGGATCAGAGATCTCTTTGTAGATCGAAGCCCTACAATCTCGCTCCAACGTGCACTAGATACATCGCTAGAACTAACATCATCTTCCGCACGCGACAAGCGAATGCAGCCCTCAGCGGAATTGTCGCCGCAGAGTCTATCGGCCAGGTTTGAACAATTTCAAAGGCATCGTCGTTGCTTGCATGGAAGGCTATCGTGAATGGCAGCTTAGGGGGTCGCCCTTGTTTCGCGTTCGCGTTGGTATGCGAATTCGCAAACATGGTAATCTAGGTAAAGTCCGCTGTAAATTTGTCACTTCCCCATGTTGAGCGGACAATTTCCCACTGTCTCTTACGCGCTAGGTGCACGTTCGCTTTCAGTCGAATGAGGTCTCTGTTGTGACCTCGGCAGCTGACGGTTGCCAATTAGGCTTGGTTCCTGCATATGACTAAGCTTTCTTTCCCAGCTGAGATCGGCTTCACCTGCCGTCCGCACACATCTGCTGGCACTCGCGCCGCAAAATCAATATTTCGGACGGCCAGGGTAGGCGATGCGACCGCTACGACTTGCCCTGACTGCAGAACAGCATGACGCAGCCGTGCAGTACCTTCAGAAATCGACGGGTTCGCATTCACTCCCACATCGCTATCCAACGTCAATGTCCAACACCACAAAGTGACATCTTGACAGCTCGCGTCGAGATGGATCGTCTACTTCCCGTCAACTAATGCTGCCAAGCATAGTCGGCTCGGAGAACATCGCTCGTGGTCATATACGCGGATCAGCATGCGAAAGAGAACCCGGGACAATCAAGATCTCTTGGCACGGGAACAAGAGTCTAACGCCGATTCGGCCTGCGGTTACCATCAGCCGCAGTCGGTGCTGATCCTGATCGCCTGTTTCCTGGGAGCGCGCCCCACAGAAGTCGTTGACAACTCGGTAGACCGTAGACACAGCCACAATCCCGCCAGGCATCCCTTCTGCAGTTCCATCGCGTACCCGAAGATCGAGCACTGAGCAGAATTTTCGCTACGAGTATTGCGGACCTGTTTTACGCGAGAAATCTACAGAATGCGGCGCAGACTAACGACGATGGCCTACTGCATTTGGACCTGCGTGACAGCGCACCTGCATCCATCGTCTGGGACTCTGTCCCCACCGTCACCGGCCGGTGAGCTTCACGCTTGTTATCCTCTAACCACAAGCTCCAGGGGTGCACGAGATATCACTACTACATCTTTTTGGTGCAGGATGGCTGCAATTTGAGTGTAAGTCGTGCGCATGGTACCGTCGTCTCTCTATTCCAGACCTGGCCAGCCTCGAAGCACTGGCTCGGGATGTAAGGATGATCGGTGCCGTCTCCGTTTCGCAACCAAATTACCTGCAGTGGCTTCAACGCTAACACGTGGCTCTTTCGGAACACCTTCGCGGAATGATGTGATAGCGGGAAATGGTGTAGTTAGCACAGGGTTCCGACAGGCTCCGTTTCGGGGCATTTTCTCACACCTTGGTACGTCAGATGTGTCGAAACGGATCGCTAGGTGCTCTAACGCCAACCTTAATTCCAGCCAGGCCTGCCAGGACCTACCTCTCCCGGTCACAAGGTAGACCCCCGCTACACTTCAAACATCTCGAACAACGACAATCGTTGTAGACGAAGAACCTTACTATCGACTCTCCTTTACTGTGCAGGTGTCGACATCGTATCCTAGATGTCCAGGGAGAGAGAGCGTCTGCAACCACAAATGACGAACTGCACCCACGATCTTGTGAGAAATGACGTCAGACCTCCATACGACTATACGAGATCGAAACTATGCTCTTCATCGAGGGGAGATCTCAGCGCAACGTCCCCCGCCGTCACTGTCAACGGGTCCGGAAACCTCGCCTATCGCGGTACAGCAGAACTGAAAATTCGCAATGTAACTGTGTATCCTGTTGCATGCATCAGAAGCGTAAACACCGGGCTGAGCAGAAACGCTCGCTGCTCCGGCGCACCTCATTCGTGCGTCTTGCCCAAAAGAGCCCACCATCAACCCACATCGCCACCCCCGGCCGACAGCGTACTGACAGCATGTAATGGCGGAGTTGCGCGATAAACCACAAAGTTTTTAGGCGTGACATCTGTCGCTCTTTTTTGCTTCTCCCGTACCGTTGGCTGTGCAGTGCAGATCAAGAGTTGCTTCTCTGTCTTTCTGGGCACGCGAATCCGGCCAAGCCTGGCGGAGATGGCTCCGCCGCAACGCCTCGGTACAGGGAAAGGAGATCTGTTAGGTAAACGATCGCAGCTGCGTATAGGTGCTGCAACAATGGAGCTGAGGCGTATGCGTTCAGGCGAGCATCGCCGGCTGAGGGTGTGGTGCTCTACTTTCAAGTCCAGAGCCATCTTTCTTGCTTCCTTTTTCGACCTCTCGGTGGTGATCTCTTCGACCGCATCTCCGGTGTCGACGGTAAAGGGGGCTGTGTACATGATCCAAACCACACGAGTTTGATATGTCACCATTCGCAACTATGCATGACAGCATTAGGACAACACTTGACGTTGTTTGATGAGTATTGATGAGTAAACGCTTTAGGCGGGTACAGTGCCCGCACGTGGTCGATCGGACACCACGGGGTAGTGCGACTTGTAGATTGGCGCTATAGATTTGTTTCAGAGATGTGATATCGATTCTTTATTTAAGTATACATCTAGAGCGCAAGTCACTTACTTACCCCGGGCCTTCTCTTGCTGCCCAAGTCTCGATGCACTAGATTAGCCGTAGCTCTTGGTGGCGTCATGTTCTTCTAATCGATCATTTAGCAGATCTTGATTAAGTGATCAATACCGCTTGCAAAGGCAATCAGAATGACTTTTGGAGGTACAAGCCGAGGCTTGTATTATCTGTGAGTCGGAAGTCTCTATCAGACTGTTGAACTGATCGGAGTGCAAACTATATTTCCCTGTAGCATCGCTTGGCCTACGTGAACCTATTCGGCTCTGGATCGATGCATTATTATGAATGTTCGAGTGTAAATACGATGGCAATAGTTCTAGACACATTCGCACGGTGATGCCATGCTATTCTCATTTACCAGATCACCGGCATCGATCTCAACGCAATGTCTCTCGAACACTGATGAAGTCTATGTTTTGCATGTGTTAGCTATTAAGCAGCATCTGCAAATGCATGCTAACTTCATGGTACAAGACACACTTACAATGCTCACTGTTAGATGTATTGTGCCGAATATATCTGCCCAGGCATGCAGTATACGCATCCGTGTATCAGCCTAAATAGAAGACGAGAGAGCATAACGCGATACTTTGAGATACGAGAAAGGACCGAAGAGTCGACGTTGACTTTAACCGTCATCTGTACAGTATCAATACGTGCTTGTATCATCTAGCCTCTCCTATCAAGAAGCCCACGTGCTCAACCCCCGTCTTTATCGTCCACTACCCGTGGGTTCATGTTTATTCTGTGCGTTTACAGATAGCTCGGAGGAGCTCGATCTACTGTCGCACGTCAGGAAAGGTCATTGAATCCATGTGAGACTCAGTCAGTACCACTCCTTCGCGAAGCCAATTCCCCCTTTCAAAATCGCTGGGCAGCTCCGCGCCCGCGAACAGCTTCGCGGCCTGTTCCAATGCGGCCCTGCCCTCGGGCTGCGAACGTATCCACGGTCTCGGCCTCAGACATATCAAGCCAGTCGCTACCGGTAGTGAAAGATGGTCGTAAAGATCAGCGATCTTTCGTATCTGCTTGATCTCGTCAGAGTTTTCCATCTCGTCTTCTGGGAAAGGATTTGGAGGCCCGTTGAACATCTGGTTTCGTAAGTTGAAGCCGAATTTAGATATATCATCTTGCCCTAATTCGGGAAAGACATTTGCCAGGCCGGATGACATCAAGGCCTTGTACGATACTGCCTTGTATCCAATGCCTCTGATGGGGCCGTGTGCCATGTACTCATGAAGCCCACCCTCGTAATATAGGTGCGGAACGTGCCACACGAGGACCTCTTCATCCAGCTGCCGTGTGTCGATGACGGCTACGTGGGGGTCGTGTTGTTCGTCTATAGATCTAGCATAATAGAGCGCTAGATGAAGTGAGCCGGTCCATGAGCTAAACTCGGAGCTGAACCAAGGGCTATTATCGTTGCTGAAGTGCATTGCCACCATTTTGTAAAGCTCGCTTTCTGCCTTCTCGTAGAATCCGCTTCCAGAGGCTCTCTCCATGAAGCCGTGCGGAATGATCTCCTTGACACTGTTAGTTGCGTGTTCTGGTCCTCCACCGCTTTTGCTGCTCCAAGTGCGAAATAGGAATTGAGGAACGTTGTTCTTTCGGAGGTCTTTGAGAAGTTAGTTAAGAGCGTTACAAGATAGTGTAGTTAAGTACCTTCGAAATATGCCCTGCGAACACCCGTAATTGGCTCAATGTTGCTTACTTCCAGCATGGCCGCCTAGGTATGATCAGTTCTGGTGACATTTTTTAGGCGAAGAGTTAATTGAAGATGAGTGTTAGGTGATAAAAGACAGTTCAGCGATTGTTGGATATGGTTATAAGTCTGGTAGCTACTCTTTGTAATAGTTTTGATTTTAGTCGCTTTTATTGTCCGTATGCCACAATAGCAAAACACTGGACGTCATAATCTTCTAGTAAGCAAGGTGAAGGCCACAGTCCATCCTCCAGTCACCAACAGTTCTCCGCCTGGGCGCTAAGCAACAACTCTCTTCGAGACAGCAACCTCGATACAGATTTCGACAGCATCAAACGATATTGGGGTTTATTGTCCTATTCGGAGTTTTGAGAAGCTTAGCTCACGCTGAACACATCCTAATTCGATGTCTACAGTACTATCTCATGTATTGGACAACAAGGCCTCCGATGGACGCAAGCAACACTACCTATGTTTTAGACATACACCTCCTAGTCTCCAGCAACGTAGGTAATATATTTATAAAGCCATCTCACTCTTTGAAGCAAGCTTGAAGACAGACTGAACGTACGTTCTCGAAGTGCACGGATATGCCTGCCTCCAGCAGCCGACCAGAAATCTCCACTCCAGCCTCTTCATAGTCCTTTACTCGCTGCTTCGGGTCGTTATCGAAGTCGAGAGATATTCTTTTCAAGCTGCGCAGCTTGCTGCGGTCATCCAGAACTCCCGAGATCCACTCTATCACAGCGGTAGTCGGATCAGCCACATTAAGGTACTCTACATTCGGCGGCAGCGCCTCGAACGGATGGAGAGGGGAACATTCGTAGGGGGTTGAGTTGATGAGAACACTTTGCGGAATGGATAGGCGCTTTATTAAAGTGAAACGTTGCAACGATCGCGATGGTCGGAGGTAGTCGATCTGTTTAGAATCTCCGGTGTCAGAGCACTTTAGATCCAGCTCTTCCAGAAGATGTGAGGCAGGGATCAGCGGATCGATGATGATGGAACTCGTAAATCCTTGCCCAGGATAGCATATGCGTTCCCGATTGTAGGTGGCGTAATATAGGTTGTCATACTCATAATAGCCGTAAGCAAACCCAATACCACCACTCATGTTGTTATGATGTTCTATCCAATTGGTAAAACACAAGTGCAAAGACCTCAGGGCGGGGAACCGCTGGAAGAAAGGCGAGAGGTCTTGTGCATTCGCTGGTTGGGATTCGTAAAGTGTTGGGCGATGTAGTGTCAAGGCAGTGATACCATGGAATAGGATAACTGGTTCTTTGTCCCATGCTATGGGCTCTGTACAATCGAGTTCCAGGTGTAGCAGTTTGGGAAAAGCAGACCAAGACCTGTTCATCTCACCCCAAGCGCCAGATAGCCTTCGGAGCTGTGGAAGAAGCGGAATATCATGAGCAGTAACAGCATGCCTTTCGGCTATGCCAGGAAACGTCAGACTCAGGCTCGGCGGCGTCATGAAATCCTCGTTCTCTCCAGAGCAGAACATGAGAGTCTGCAGCTGATCTGTTAACACCAGCAGGAGGCCAATGCAAGCATGAAGATTGCCATATTTGACGCTGCTAACCCACTTCATCTGGTCGATGGGCCAAGATCGTGTCGACTTTATTGCGTGCGTGACGACCTGGTCCCAGCAGTCCTCATAGATTATAGCTAATCTGTAAATTGGCTGAACACCACAATGTCCCGTTATTTCCAAAGAGCGGACCTTCTTAGCGAGATCTGGCCTTTTTACTAGGGTTCTGAGGAGTTCCAGAAGAGACTGGTAATACTTCCTCAGACTGATGGAAGTGTGTAGAGCTTCTTGCGCGATGTCGCCAAAGTGGCGTGCAGCTAGAGCTAGGTCTTTAAGATCGGGTGGCTGAAGGCGCAGCGCGATATCAAGCAAGAGCTCGTCCGGTAGGTTCTCAAGTTGGGCCATAATCGCACTCTGAGATGGAGGTATCGAGTAGAACTGGGCGTATGGTTGTGGCAGGTTGGAGATGAAACGAGGATGTCAGCTTAATAGCATTAAAGCTAAAATTGGGGAGGCGGAGACGTAATTTTCCACCTTTGCCTCGTTAAAAGTAAGTAGTGCGTTAATAGTTGCGTCGTACTATTAAATAGTCGTGCGGAAGTTAGATCTTGGTCTCACTACGCCAATACCACGGTACTCTGATGAGTTACGCAATGGCCTGTAGACGAGGAGCCAATCATGATTTCCGCAATACCAACAACACCCACGAAGGAATGGCGTAGGATCCGAAGATGATTCAAAAGTCGCATTCTGCTGCGATGGTAAATTGTGACGTTTTACATTTCTCCTGGTTTAGCACGCCGGCCGCCTATCTCGATTTAAGCATCAGTACCCTGGAACATATTGCCCACGCTCGTCTCAGACTTAACAGCATCCTCATGATAATGCGAACCCGCCGAGGTAACCGTAGTATCCAACTCTTCCAGACGCCTCAAATCCATCGGCGCAGCCAAAAGCGGGATGACGTAAGGATCGAAAGTCTTCCAGTACGGGTTGTTGAGGTGGTACTGCTGGGACTGTAAAGAGCGTTAGCCGAATCATTCGTACCCACACCAACGTTGACACCAGCCCCTCGTGAAGACGTTCATCATCAATTCGGTAAGAGGGAGAAAAGGGATATCAAACTTACAGATTCCTTCAAGTACCGCTCAACAATAGTAAACTTCCTCTTATCCACCGTATCCTGCATAACGAACCAACTCAGCGTCTCCTTATCCTTGCTGTAAACCTGACTCGCTTCCACAAGCTTAGCACTCAGCTTGCTGATGCTCTCCTGGTCTTCCTTGGCGAGGAGGTGAACGACGATTGTGTAGACCATTTTGGCTTCTCTTGTTCCTCTCTTGTTTGTTGTGTGCTGCTGTGTTGGTGTGTGGAGACTGGCGATCAAGCGTTTTTCGCTTCGCTTGGAAAATGGAGTTTGCGTACGTAGTCAAGTACCAGTGGGACAGTATGAGTGAGAAAGAAGAAGGAGTATTTTAGACGTCGCGACAAACCACAGTAGATTTTTCTGCTCGGTGATGCTGTTTTTGCGGCCTAGTGACGTATCACCGCGACGGAACCCCGCAGCTGAAAGTGGAGTTCGGCCGATCTGCATGCCTTCCTTCCCACGCTACAAGCATCACCAAGGAACGGGAAGGAGCGCGCAGCCGCAACATCGAAAAAGCAAGGGAAGGAGCACAATGAGTATCTCCGTAGGCGCGGGACGGAAGGCCGACGATAACGCGTAGCCACGTGGGGACGTGGGACGCGGGATGCAAGCACCACCGCCAGCACACTAAGCACAACAATCAAGATTTTTTGAACTTGAAGATCAATTACACATCTAAACAACGAGAGAAAACAAGAACAAGGGTGCCTCCCAACACCCCGCCTCGTTCTCCCTCATCTATGTAGTAACTAAACTAATAAGCTAAAGAAGGGGGGAATTTGCGAAAAGACAACGCAGTCGCACCGTAGCAACGCTAAAGTTACACCATCATCACCGTTCCCAATTCCACCCAGAAAATTGAAGAAAACACCACCCCATATGCTATGCCATGCCGTAAAGCGAATGATAATCGAAAACATTGGTACTACTACGCCCTGCTGAGCATCTTGAGCACCTCCTCCTTCTCGCTCGTAGGCAGGGTGCTGAGCAAGCTCATGACACCCTTGAGACCGCCCTCGCGGTCCTTGCGCATGAGCTGTGCGATTTCGAGCGCAATGCCGTCGGTCTTGAGTTGCTCGATCTTGTCGCTGACGAGCGGCCTGTTCTCCTCGTACCAGGTTGCTACGGCCATGTCGTCTTGCTCCCAGTTGGGGATGTTGGACAGGTGCTTCAACATCTCGAAGCCACGGCTGCGGGTGAGCGGGTTGGCCATAGGGTTGTCGTGTGTAGGCGAGGCAGCAGCGGCGAACTTCTTGAGGATGTACTCCTCGTTGAGACGGCGGCGAAGGCGCCAGTAGAAGAAGCGGCGGGCGTTTTGCCATCGCAGGGCTTGTCGAATGACTCCCTTGGCCTGCATGCGGCCGGAGCGGTCGTGCAGATCGGCGAACTGGAGGGCAATTTGGCCGTAGACGGGTAGAAGCTTCTTCTCGCGCTCGGTCATTTGGGCCTTGATTTCGCTGAGTTCAGACTCTGGTGTTGCCTTGTCGTTCAGCTTGCGCTTGAGAGCACCGTAGGTAGGGTCGTTGCGGGCCATTGTGTCGAGTTGACGTTCCCGACGGTACTTGATACCGACGATACCTTCGGGTTCGAGCACACCACCACGCGAGTCCTCGTCGGCGTACATCTCCATGAATTGAGGGTTGATAGTGGGATCAACAACAACCCAAGATCCACCACGGAGCTCGCCGTACGGAGGAATGTAGACGAAGATGGGCTGTTCAAACTTGACGAGTGCGTCGACAATGTAAGAACCGTACTTGAGGACCTCGTTGTACATATCGCGCTGACCACCAGAGAAACCACGCCAGTTGGCAAGAATCATCAACGGCAGTTGCTCACCGTTGTTGAAGTCCTTGATAGCCTGAGCAGTCTTGAAGGCGGAGTTGGGGTACCAGACACCACCAGCCTCGGATGTGACCTGTTCGATGGAGTCGGGGTTGGCGGGGTCAGCAGGTGTGACGTTCTCGACCGAGCGTGTCTCAACACCGATGACACCGATAGGGATGCCACCGAGGCGAGCACGACCGACGACAACAGTCTTAGCCCAACCACCAAGAGTCTCAACGAAGGAGCCGCGATCGAACAGACCAGACTGGAAGCCGTCTTCGTCCTCCTTTCCGGCGATGAGGTGCCTCACATCGTAGGCTGACTTGCCAGGTGGGTAATAGGTGATGTCGCGGTCCCAGTTGTCGGCAGAGGGCGAGATAGGGACGGGGCTGCCCTTCTTGTCGGGTACGTATGACAGCCACTGGACGATCTTGGAGACACCTTCGAAGTCATCATCGGCAGTGGAGTGTGAAACACCGTTCCTGTACATGATCTGGGTACCACCAAGCTGGAGGTTAGAGGTGTAAACTTCACGACCGAGCAGCTTGTTGATGGCCTGTGCACCGGTGAGGATGATTGGCTGTCCTTCAATCTGGATGGCACGCTGACCGAGGCGGACGAGGTAAGCACCGATACCTATGTAGCGTTAGTAGACGAATTTGGACATTGTGCTGAAGATACATACCAACTGAGCGGCAAGTCACCAAAGTGATGGTGAAAATGTCCTCGTAGGCCCTCGATGTCTCACCAGCGATAAGACCGGAGCCACGGAGCGACTCAACACCAAGACCATCCTCAGCACCAATGACAGTAGTGATCTTGTAGCGGTTCTCACCATCGACCTCAACCTTCTCGCAGATGACATCATTGCGCTTGCCATCAACAAAGTGCTCGTACTTCTCAGGTGTCAGGTAGAGGTAGTCGAAACCAGCCTCGGGCTTGTCGGCGTCCTTCCATGCAACAGAGAAGTGAGGAATGAGCTCCTCAGCAAGACCGATACGAGCACCAGAGTTGGCCGAAAGGTAGATACGCGGGATTCCGAGCTTCCGTGCAAGCTCAGAGCACTTGTGGAAGAAGTTGTCTTCCGCTGGGCCGAAAGAACCGATCTTGAAGGTGATATCGTTGGCGATGATGATGAAGCGACGGCCACGGGGGTACTCAGGGGTCTTTGCGGTGACCATCCATCCGACCATACCGATGGTGTTGTGGCCAGGGTCACGGTTGACCTCAGCCAAGTTGTCAGTGTCGTCAAGCACCAACTCGTAGTACTCGAGGCACTCTCCCTTCGCTGGCTGCCTGTCCCGGAGGAACGAGTGCTTCTTGATAGCCTCGATCCAGCTGTTCTCGGTCGCCTGGCGGAAGAGCTCAGGGAAGTCGTACACATACTGAGTTCCCATGAGATGAGCCTTGTACCTCTTGGGCTGCAGCGCTCCCTTGGTGGGGTAAGGAGTCGAGACGGGCTGGAGGTGAAGAGCACCAATCTTGGTGGTTCCACCAATGCTGTGGAAGAGCCACTTGCCGGCCTTCTCGGACTTGCGCTCTGCGTACATCTCAACTTGGATAACGTATCCTGAGGTGTTGGTGATGATGACACGAAGAGGGTAGGGGATGCCAGTCGCAGGGTCGGTAACAATGATGCGGATCTCAGCGCCAGTCACACGGAGACGCCAGAGACGTCGACCGAAGCGCTCCAAGAAACCACCAATTGCCTCCTCAACCTCGGTTGGGTTAAGAGGGAAGACGTGCGAGAAGTTGATGAAGATGTGGTTCATATCAGCCTGCGAAGTGCCGACGATCTCCAAAGCATCCAAAATGTCAGTCATCAACCTGTCGGTCTCAGATACCATGTACTCGGCGGTAGGGATCTCCTCGCGAAGACGGCCAGATCGGACGACAGCCCTCAAGAAGTAGCGCTTGTCGCTCTCGGCGCCCTTGCCAACAGCCTCGTAGATGTGGATGTTGCGGTTCTCGGTGAACACGGGCTTGATGTCGAACTTGGAAAGTCTGCCAAGCTCAAGCTGGAAGGCAAGAGCAGGCTCGACGTGACGGATACTAGCGTCTTCCTCGTATGTGGGTCCACGGAATGTGTAGTAGCCGGGGTAGGTTCCGTCCTTGTGACCGCAGATGAATGAGATGCGGCGAATGCGACGGGACAGAAGCTCCTGCTTGAAGTCGTCGACGATGGGCAGAATGCGCTCGAGGATCTCCTTATCATCACTGCCTTCAATGTCGCGAACAGCGATGTTCAAAACACCAGTAAGCTCGTCAGTATGCTTGGGCTCGTTTACTCCAGTAGTAGGAGTGCGCTTCAGGGTAAGACCCTCCCTCAGGCCAATACCGCCCTTCTTCTCCTTGCCGAGGTTGGGGAAGATGTCCAGCGCCTTGCTGATGAGCTCGTCCGCGTCATCGAGGTACTCAACGGGGACAACGA